TCTGTATCTCAGAGACCAGTCTGCTTAAGGCTCAGGTTAACAAGATCATTTCAGGTCAATGGCCTATGTGAGTCACCCCAACTCCATGGGCCCCAATAAAATTGTTCAATAGATCACTTATGTGGCTTGGATAAAATTCCTTTGGCCTCCCACTGCCTTGGTATCCTCATCTCTGGGGATATGGGTCTGACCAGATCATCTCCACTGCCCTTTCCAATGCTGACATAACCTGTTACCAAAATAGAGAGACATGAGAAAGTCCTATTTCACAACCGATCATTTCTCCATGGTCGCAGGTGTACTACAGAAGTGGGCAAGGAGCCGTGTTTAGGATCCACACACAATGACATTTTATAAAAGCTTACCCATCTCAGGAACCAGTAACTTGCCTAGCTAGGAAACAGTTAACTCAAGTTCAGGAATTATTATAGTTTCCCTCCCATTTCTTTATCACTCTTAGTTATAATTAAAGTTACTAATTTTTCTTTTACAATAGGATGCAAAATAGAAGTTTTGCCTGCCTACATGTCTTTCTCCCATCCCCCTATACTACACTCTTAGCTATCTTTCTGCCTATATCTGACATGCAGAGAGTGTCTTCAATGGGCTCAGAAAAATATCATTTATTGAGTCTAAGTGGCAAAAACTTCTGTTTCTGTATTTTTATCAGTCACATATTACTTTGACAAAATATACAAAGTCTGTAAAAAAAGACAAGTTATTTTTTAAAATAAAGGAATTGCCCTATTTTCTTCTAGAAGTTGTTGCCACCGTGCACAAAGGAAAATGTGCACAGGCCTGTCTCTATACCCAGACGGTAATAGCACTGCCAAGCTTTAGATTTTACTTTAGTTATGAGCAGAGGTGGTGCTTGGACAGCATCAGCTTTAGAATGAAATTAATATCCCCACACCTTGTCATACACTTTCCTGAAGGCAGTACTTTACAATTGTTCTCCAATTTCCTTTTTTCCAACGGGAATTTTTCACTAAATAAATGTACTTAAAAATAAAGGAGGTGAAGAATGTTTTATTCTTGTTTCATAGACCTCGGCACCATGTGAGTCTGTTACAGTGTCCAAAGAAACAAACCTGCACCAGGGCAAAGCAGGGATTCGAACCCACCTCTTCTCAAAACTGGCGGTGTCGTGGTTACGCGTTAGGCTATCATCGTCACGATGGGCAGTTTGAAACCACCAGCAGCTTCGCGAGAGAAAGATGGGGTTTTCTACTCCCCTAAAGAGTTACAGTCTCAGAAACCCACGGAGTCGGGGTCACTATGAGTCATCATTGCCTCGATGGCAATGAGTTTGATTTGGGTTCTCAATTCTAGATCAAATGCTCCCAGGGAAAGATCAAAACCCAAACCAAGCCCACAGCTGATTCACAGTGACCCTAGAAAACACAGTTCAACCACCTCACAGAGTTCCCAAGACTTGAAATCTTGACTGAAGCCACTGCCACACCTTTCTCCCTCTGTCACATGAAAGCGGCTGATGGTTCAAACGACGGGCCTTTTGGTGAGTAGTTGAGTGTGCTCAACCGCCACAGCACCAAGACTTCTCCAGGGAGGGTGACTGACTGACTGCCTGACTGGACTGCCCTGCGGCCATCAAGTCCATTTTGCGTCACAGCAACCTTACAGGACGTAGTGGAACGGCTCCTTGAATCTTGATGGGGCTGAGTCTCAGCTTTCTCTACAGAGTGGCTGGTGCCCTTGACCCCACGAGCTTGCTGCGGTTAGCAGCCCAGTGCTTAACCCACAGTGTCACCGGTGCTCCAGAGGAAGAGTGGCGGTTATCTTCCCTTTGTTAAGTCAGGCTCGTTTTCATGGCGCTAAGACAGCCAGCGCATACTCAACAATCATTGGTTCATAGATCTGAGTCTTGCAAGGGGCCTTAGAGATTACCGTAGACAAGGATGCTGGGGAGGGGCCTATGCAATTTCCATTCAGGCTGAAGCTGGAGCTGAGCTGGCGGGTCTCCAGATGCCCATTCCAGCCCAGCTGCTGTTCTTATGATTTACATATTCATGGCCACGGAAGAATTTGTTGGAAAAAGAGGCCCGACTTCTACAAATAGGTTTACAGCCACTGATTACTTAATCCTACAGGAATGGAGAGGTGATTGAATAAAAGCATTGCAAAGTGAGGAAGTGTCTCTCAAGAAGAAACAATCAATTGATGGGAGACTGAGCAATCCTTGACCAGTTTTATTTTTGGACAGTGTGGTAATATTCCATTAAGGGACAGCTGCTTTTCTGAGCTCAGACTTCTCCTTTCTCTAAGCCACTAGCTCATGAACGCGGGCGTACAGACTGTCCAAAATCTACGTGGTCATGAGATTGTAGATTTGTGAAAACATTTTAAGTGCCTTGCTTTACAGTGATTCATGTTCTAACTTGGAAGAGGAGCTTACTCACAGCAGCTGTCCCTGGTTAAAAAGTGTGAACCTGTTTTAAAGGTGCAGGAATGGTTTGTATTCATATTATAGGTTAATTGCATCCCCTCAAGACAGACATTGATACCTTAACCCCAATACCTGTGTCTGTAACCCTGTTTAAAAATAAGGGTTTCTTGGTTGTGTTAATTGGACCATAGACTCACTGGTTGGGCTGCTAACAGCAAGGTCAGCAGTTAGAAACCACCAGCCGCTCGATGGGAGAAACATGAGGCTTTCTACTCCCATAAAGAGTTAGATGGGAGAAACATGAGGCTTTCTACTCCCATAAAGAGTTACCGTCGGCTTCCGCCATCTTTCCATCCCTCAGTCAGACGCGGCCTGGAGGCTTCTGGAAGCTTGCACATGTGGGTGATGGTGGTACTGGAAAAACGACCTTTGTGAAACATCACCTGACTGGTGAATTTGAGAAGAAGTATGTAGCTACCTTAGGTGTTGAGGTCCATCCGTTGTGTTCCACACTAACAGAAGACCTATTAAATTCAACGTGTGGGACATGGAAGGTCAAGTAAATTGGAGGACTGAGAGATGCCTATCATATTCAAGCCCAGTGTACCATTATAATGTTTGGTGTAATCTCAAGAGTTGCTTACAAGAATGTGCCTAACTGGCATAGGGATCTGGTTCGAGTGTGTGAAAACATGCCCACGGTGCTGTGTGGCAACAAAGTGGACATCAAGGACAGGAAAGTGAAAACCAAGTCCACTGTCTTCCACCGAAAGAGGAACCTTCGGTACTACGACATGTCTGTCAAAAGTCACTCCGACTTTGACAAGCCCTTCCTTTGGCTGGATAGAAACCTCATTGGAGATCTTAACTTGGCGTCTGTGGCCGTGCCTGCTCCTGCCCCACCAGAGGTGGTGATGGACCCAGCTTTGGCAGCACACGATGAGTGTGACTGAGAGGTCGCGCAGACAACCGCTCTCCCGGATGAAGATGATGACGCGTGATAGCACAAAGCTGGAGCCCGGCGTCAGGGTCTAGTGTTACAGGCAACTGTCCTGTGAGGTCAGTGGTGCAGCGTGTGTGCCTCCCTTATTACAGAGCTCAGCAGAATGTGCTCGTCTCTGGGATGCTGGAGGAGATGGATGGGCTTCGGAGTGAGTGTGGCAGTT